AAATATTTCAACGCAGGACCAGAGCCCCTCTGGTCTCTCTTCCAGAGCTTCTGGTCTTCATGACCAGAGCCTCTGGTTAACCATACTTGGAAAATATTCTATACTAAGGGCCAGAGCCCCTCTGGTCTCTCTCTTTTCTTCCAGAGCCTTCCAGAGCCCTCTGGTTCTCGCAACCAGAGCCTCTGTTTGACRTAATCTGGTACAGAGCTCGTCACAGAGCTCTCACAACCTAATACAAAACTCATGTAGAGTTTCTAACACGTTACAGAGCTCTCATGCAGAGCTTCTGTATGCCCGCCTCTACGTGGTTTTTACAGTGTGACACAGTGTGCTTACTATATGAAATCTAAACCTTGAATCGATCCTTAAAACCAAGGTTTGGTCGTGAGCCTTCCAGGGTTCTGTACACGACCAAAGGCATCACTAGACATAATTAACATAAGATTTGGTTGAGTATTTACCTCCAAACGTCGAGGAAACAGGGGGTGTTCTTGCTTGGTCTTGAGCTCCGGTTCCCTTTTCTCTCAAGCTCACGATTCCTTCTTCTCAAGAGATAATCACTCTCGGCCAGTATCCTTGATTTATACCCAAGCGATTTGGCCTATTAGTTGACCAAATCGGCCAAATCCCGATTTCCAGGCTGCAAGACTGTCTTCTTTACAGCTTGCAGCCATGCAGGTCGTAGTTTCCTCAAAGAGGCCAGGCCATGCATGCGCCCTTTCCCGCCCTTCCTAATGAGGATAGCAGGCCCTCCTCTGTTTGTGCGGTCTGTTGCAAAATTACACAACAGGTCCTTCTGATTTGGGCCGGTTTACACCCGACCCCGCCCTCTAACTATCGCGAAATTACACCTTCGCCCATGGCTTGACTTTTCTTTCTCTTTTGGCCCGATTTTAGACTTATTATTAAATTTCTATTTAATATAATTAAAAATAAAAATTGTAAATAAAGATAAATTATTTATTCTCAAATTTTGGGTTTTACATATATTGGGTCATAGAAATTGGTATATAGATGTTCCATTAAATACAAAAACAAGAAATGATGAATTACATAAGTTCAGAATTCCTCTTGTTTGACAAATGGGATAGGTCTGACAGAGGCAGGTCCTGATGATGCTTAACTTTGAGAAGCTACTTCTTTGACTAGAAGATCTTCTAAAAAATTTCTTGGAACCTCCTTCAGGGATCAGTAATTACTTCACCAACTTAACCTATCCTTGCAACTAGCAAGCTAGTGTCAATTCTTTTCGAATACAGAAAAAGATGTTAGTGCAGGCACAACAAGATCTTGTCTTGAAACGTAGGTGCCGTCAGATCTTATTTTCTTCCTTTTTTCATTAGATGCTACTTTATTTGTTGCCTTCCTCTTCCTCTTCCTCTTCCTATTCCTATTTCCACTGATAGTAATAGTCATTTCATTAGGTATAATCCAAATTTTGACTTGCTATCACCTAGGCATCTAACAGCATCATCCAGATCATTTATGCTTAGAGAGGAGCGTTCAATGTGCCTCATTAGCTAAGGCTTTCCATACTTCCTCATAAAGGATATTTCAACCAAGTACCAAATCTTCTGCATCCCCTAGCCTTCAGTCTTATCTTCTAGATCTTATTGGACTTAGACTGTTTAGAGGGTTCAGTAGATGGAGAGGGTTATTCTTTGCTTTTCCAAACTCCTCTAACATGCTTTGTTGGTCTTCTTAAAGCTTTTTCCTTATTTCTTCATTGTTTACTACTGCTTCCTCATCAACTTCTTCATTTGAGTTAGT